GGTTTTATCAAGCCATTAGGTCTGTTCGCGTTGCTTGCACTTTTGGCACTCGGCATCTTCGCTGCCTCTTTTTTCAAGGGATATATATCTATCCCATTTTAAGTGTAAAAACATTTATTTCATACAACGTGAACAGATCTATTGAAGAATTTTCGTGCATGCGCGGAAGATTTTTCAGTGACCTGATGGAACAACACTGGTTTAATCGCGAGCATGGATGACGTGGATTTCGCGGACCCGCCGATCGTGGAATCTGACCGACTCTCCGGTTTTTCCACAGGATCTGTCCTGTAGAAGGCGGAACTGGTTGAACGGGTGCTCTAGCAGGTTTGATAGTTCTCGCCTTTCACTCGCAGTCTCGTTCGACAGCCGATCGATTTCACAACTCCCACAGTGCTATCGACCCCCTGCGAACTAGCAGTTATCGCAAACGACGTCAGCTGTTTGTCCGGACGTAGCGCGTCATCATCGCATACGCACAAGCCCCCTGCAGCGAGAGATTCCTCCGTCCTCGTCGCCTCGGAATCTCTTGGCGGCATGCGGTAGCACATCGACCTCAGATTGGCTCAGATCAGCGTGTGAATCCTACGAAGCAACAGTAACAATGTTCTCCTGGAGGAATGTCTTCTCCGTCGTCTCGCAGAAGTTTGGGAGAAAGCTGCATTTGTCAAAAGTCCGGTGAGTATGGGACTGATATTCTTCTGTCAGAGACCACGTGGACAGTTATTTTAATTCGTAAGGTAGAGAATGTATAACAAATTGTAACACATCCTAATATATATCGCTCACTTGCTGTAACAATGATGTAACTCAAAAACTATCATTTTTCAATTTCTTACAAAAAAAGAATAGAAACATAAAAAAAGAAAGAACATATTTTAGAAAGAAAAAACAATATATTTTAGAGTATTTTTTTATTTCTACAATCAGTTATTACACCAAAATTACGTTTCAAAATTAATATTACAAAATGTTTAATGATTCAAAACATTCAAACTTATTTTCTAGAAAACTTTGTTTTTTAATAGTATCATTGTAGTAAATGAGCGATGTGAAGGATACTTATTATAACAAATATTAATGTATATGGAATTTATAAATATCAAACAATAAATATTAAATACACATTAAAAGTAGAAAAATGAAAACAGCAAAGTCGAAAGGTACTTTCATTTTTATCCTTAATTTTTATGAAGATTTTTTGCTAATATACTTAATTTTACTAATTTTATATAATGATAAAATATATTAAACATAATATATATAAAAAAATATTATCTTCCGCTATTTTTAAATTATGAATCTTGTTGTTTGCAGGCAAGAGGCTGTAATCATAGACGGGACGAAAATTGCAGAACAAATTCAAGAAGAATTAAAGGTAGTTATAGATACTTGTACAAAAGCTGGAAAGAAAAGGCCAAAGCTGGTGGCGATATTAGTGGGAAATCATCCATCCAGCAAAGCGTATGTTGGTAGAAAAATGAAAGCAGCAAAGTCGATAGGTAATTTTATTTTTATCCTCATCAAACAGATAGTTTTCGCCTTAGAATTCGTATTGCTAATCTTCTTTGTCAATTATCAGGAATTGAAAGTTATACTATTCATTTGGGAGAAAATATAACGCAAGTAGAGCTTCTTAAGGAAATTGACAATCTTAACAGAGATCCATCTGTTGATGGTGTTCTGGTACAATTGCCGCTGCCGAAAAGCATAAATGAGAGAGAAGTATGTCAAGCAATAATTCCAAAAAAGGACGTGGACGGCTTTCACTTGGAAAACCTTGGTAATCTGACACTGGACAACAACAGTATTGTACCAGCCACTGCCTTAGCTGTTAAGGAATTAGTACTTAGAAGCAAAATCGAGACTTTCGGAAAGAACGCCGTAGTTGTGGGTAGATCAAAACATGTCGGATTGCCTATCGCACTGTTACTTCACGCCGATGGCAAAGGTGATTGACCTATCAGTTTGGCAACAAAATATAATTTTACTAAAATCGTATCGAGATAACAAATTCTGACGTCACAGACTTTTAAATCGTATCACTATTTGCAACATTATCTAAATTCTCGCAATTGTTTCATTTCGTAATGTCAGACTGCCTATATCTCGAGACATTTAATTTAATTCATTTTCTTTATTTCTGTCAGTTCGCAGCTTCTTCGTCAATTCATTTTCTTTTTTTTAATAAGAAAACTTTCGTAGAGATTAGTGTTAACTGGAAGTATCGAACGATCATTATTTGACCGTTTCTATTTTTTAAACTCGTATTTTTTATGTAAAAGATAAGATTCTGAAATTTTTTACTTATTAATAATTAAGTCTTTTTATACTGATGAAATATTTGAGTTTTCATTACTTTCTTTATTTTCATAATAATTTATTTACTTGGTCCTTTTAATGAATAAGAAATAACATAACTACATCATGAATTTTGCCGATTTTTTAAATATTTTTATCTTTAATTTTCCAAACTAATTGTACATCTCATTTTCTGCAGGCGAAACGGGTGCGATGGACATGACAACGACAATTTGCCATCGTCACACACCTCACACGGAGCTAGAAAAGTATACGAAGCTGGCGGATCTGATCATAGTCGCGGCCGGGGTTCCCGGCTTGATTACTAAAGAGATGATAAAACCAGGCGCTTGCATAATTGATGTGGGTATCACCAGGGTGAAGACGGCAGATGGCAAGTATCGTCTGGTGGGAGATGTGGATTACGACGGCGTGAAGGATGTCGCCGGATATATCACTCCAGTTCCCGGCGGCGTAGGTCCCATGACGGTGGCAATGCTGATGAAAAATACAGTCAAGGCTGCTATGAGTGATCAAGAAGACACGAAGCAGTCCGATCATTTAGAAGATAGCAAAGCATTTATATATTGACACGTAGCAATAGATTATTTAATTTAGGAGCTCTATTTAGTGTTATCTATAAATATAATTGTAATATATTGTCGTATTTTGTAATACACAAATAAAGTATTATTTTTATAAAAAATAATATATTATTAACAAAGCCGTTTATATCTATTAGTTAAACAATATTACTAGGCCGTAATATTATATTAGCAACTGTATTAAAAAGAAAATTGTACAAAAAATTTGTACATAAAATTGTTTTTTTTTTTTACATTTATGTACTTACATTTTATTAAGTTTTTTTTACTTTTGTGTACTTTGTGATTGTGTTTGCATAAATGTGTTAACTTTATTAACCCTAATTTCTACGAAATGTGTATATAGTACTAAAATAAAAAATCTTTTGAAGTTCAAAATTAAAACGCGTGATACTGGATTAAATCCGAAGTTTATAGGCCCGAAAGGAGAAAAAGAAGAATCAGGCATCACATAGCTCAGAAATATAAATCCGTTACTATCCGACATTTTGAATCGAAAACTATTCTCTGTAATTTAAATTATATAAGAAAATAATTAGTGTTTTTAGAGAATAACCAAAGAATTATCATTAAATTATCATTTTCTACCATATCGACATGAAAAATTTTGAAATTAAAGAAAAAATAGAATTTTAGCAATGATTTTCTTTCTTGAAACAAATAATATTCTACGTATGAAAATACATAAATGTACAAAATTACAAAAAAAAATTTGGAAGTGGGAGAGTTATACTGTGCACATTTATCTTGTCCTGTTATAAATTCTATCATAACGGCAACGGATATATACGCACTAATTATTTTTTCATGCGTATTCACGAATTCGATATTACTTTATATCTCTTCTATCTGTTTAATCCGTTAGTTATCTCTAGAAAATTTTGAAAATTACAAGTGGAGAGTGGAGTAGAGTTAGTGGGGATTAGTTTGTCGACGTATCACGCGACTATTCGTCCAATCTCAGCATGTCGTGGGTAAATGCTAATAAATAATGGTATTCGCGAACGCTGTTCGTTTCATCAGACAAAGCGAGAGAATCCTTCATACAAAGAGAATCGGTTGGAGGATCTGTGATTATCCAAGAGTCCTGATATCGAATGATTCGAATGTCGTCGAAATGAGTAAACCCAAAATCCTAATTACACGGCCCGATATACCCGTTGCAGGCTTAAACTTGCTGCGTAAACGGTGAGACTTGCATTATAAATATTTAAATTATTATCGTTTTATTTTTGTCTTTTTTTTTATGACATGTCTGCTTAATTTCTTTATATTACGTAATCTTATACCAATTTAACTTTGTGTTATGCTAAATACAAATATGTAACAAGTTCATGTAATATAAATACATATAAATACATATTTCATATACAATATGTTTATAATAAAATTTAATTTAAGTATGTCGTTACTTTAATACAAGTTTAATACATGTTTTGTCATTTACAGATATCATCTTATAATATGGGACAAACCTGAGCCAATACCACATGCTGAATTATTGGCAAAAATCCATGGAGTAGACGCTGTATTCTGCGTGCTAACGGATAAGATAGATAACGAAGTTCTAGATCATGCAGGCCCGCAATTGAAAGTTGTGGCATCTATGTCGGTGGGCTTGGATCATATAGACATAAGTAGTTTGCAAAGTAGAAACATTAAAATTGGTTATACTCCAAATGTCCTGACTGAGAGCACTGCGGAGCTGATTATAGCCCTTTTATTAGCCGTATCAAGACATGTGCTGCATGCAAACTTAGCAATTTACAAGTGTGTATACAAATATATGAAACATATGGATTTTGATGATCTTGGGACATTTTCCTAACTTGTGAATAGTGTAACATCAATATTACATTTGTCCGTTTTTGTTGTGTGACAAATTTTCAAATCTGTTGATTGACTACAGGATAGAAAGATCCGAAAACTTCTCTGTCCTGCAGTCATTTAACACATTTGAAAAATTCGTTGTACGACAAAAATGAACAAATGTAATATTAGTCTCATTTAAAATAATTTTATGTTTTACAATCTTATTTTTCAACAATTTTCTTCTATTCATGTAGGTTAATTATTGTACTGTATTTATGTTTATGCTAAGTCCAAATTTTTAAACTTTCAAAACTAATAACAAATAATTTTAATGGATTCCGTATGTTTCTGTAACATCACAAAAAGTGTGTTCTTATTACGAATTAAAGATGTATCATAAAATAGCATAATGCTTGCAGTTGAAACTGAATATTATTACATTTATTACAGAGGTGAATGGACATCCTGGTCGCCTTTATGGATGTGTGGCACAGGACTGACAGGGAAAGTCGTAGGAATTGTCGGTTTAGGTAGAATTGGCTTCAGAGTCGCTGAGATACTTAAGAGTTTCAACGTTGCCAAGATATTGTATTTTAACAGAACTGCCAAAGAAGAAGCATCTAAGTTTGATGGTGAAAAAGTTGATTTTCCCATGTTACTCCAGAACAGTGACTTCGTCATAGTAACTGTGGCATTGACACCACAAACTAGATACATGTTTAATTCTTGGGCTTTCAATCAAATGAAGAAGACAGCTATATTCGTGAACGGTAGCCGCGGGGATGTAGTAGATCAACAAGCGCTGATTGACGCTTTAAAGAATAATACAATCGCAGCAGCTGGCGTAGACGTTACAACACCAGAACCGCTACCAACAAATCATGAACTTTTACTGTTAGATAATTGTGGTACGTATATCAATGCAGAGAGATATAATAAAAAGATGAGTGAAAATATGACTGTTCCTGCGACACTTGAAGTGAATAACTTTTTTCGCAATCATTTGCATCAGATTACATGTTTTTATAATATTTTGATACAAAATATTTAACTCTTTAATATGCTATGTTGTTATTGACAAATATCTTAACAATTACAAATATATTGTAGGTTTTTCAATCACCGAATATTCACTTATTGGAACATTTACCTTATCAGATCTTCTATATAGGATGTTAAATATACGATAAATATCAATCTGCATTTTTGTTCTTTTAGTGGTCCTACCTCATATCGGAAGTGCAACCATAGAAACTAGAAGTGAAATGGCTTGTATCACAGCGAAAAATATTATAGCTGTTCTGGAGGAAAATCCCGAAGGAATGCCTGCAGAATATGCAAAAGTAAATTCTTAACATTGCTAATGATGTATATAATGAGAAATTCCTAATAATCATAATTGTGATATATTCCTCAGTCAAAGGTAAACCTGTGTAATTTAGTTTTTCAATAATTTATATATGTATATAATACAAAATGTATAACTTATTTAAGAATATATTGTATAATTATATCAATTAAAAATCACTCTTTCAAAGTACAAGGTATAAATAAATAAACGATTAGATACGTTGATGTAGGAATTGCCAAATGTGAGCCGACACCAGTTCGTGTGTAATCCAAAATGTATATTAAAAAAATGTGATACAGACGTTTTTCAATCCTGTTATTGGGTCCTGGTAGTGTAAACATGAAATGTCAAAAATAAAAATATATATATTATCAGCAGCAAATTAAACAAAGTTACGTCAATCTTTAGCGACTAAGTCATAATACAATGGACTCAGTAAATCTGTGTCGTTTTGCAAGTTCAATTCGTTTTTTGTTTATTAATAAAAATTTCCTCAGAGATTAATCTCTTATTGTAACTCCTTTCCTCGTCTAAACCCGAACATTGTCCCAATCAAAATCATGGTTGTGCTCAATTCTATATTCTGTAATAACGTTCTGCGATGTAGTATTTCGATTAATGTGGTTTCGATGTTCACTTATTCTTGATTTTAATAATCTTCTTGTCTGCCCCACATAGGAGGCATCGCAATTTTGACAATTGATCTTGTATACAACGTTAGAATGTGTCATAGTTGATAATCTGTCATTCTGCCCCTTGATGAAAGAATTCAATTTATTGATCCCAGTAAATGCCAATCTTATGAACCGATTATTCTTGAAAAATTTATGAAATTTGTCAGAGATAGATGGAATATAAGGTAATGGAATATACGGTGAAATATTTAATCTTGTTATTCTGTCTATTTTTAGATGAAACTGCTTTTGTTCTATTGAATAGTTTGGACTTTGATATCAATCTTTTTTTAATATTTTTGAATATTAAATCCAAAGGATATCCATTATTATTAAAATGCTAATAATAAATTCAAAATTCTTACAATGAAATCTAGGATGACCAGTCATATATTAAATTGTTTCCTTCTTTTATTAAAGTCCAAAAAATTCAATCTATGCCCCCCCCCCCCAACTTCATTGTAAATCTTAATCTGGGATGGAAATCATTAAATTTTTTCAACAAAGAATCGATATTCTGTTCTTGTATCGCGAGAGCGATGTCATCCACGTATCTATGATAAAAACCTAGTGTAAATTTTAACTTATTAAGCGATACTTTTTCAAGTTCCTATATGATTAAATCTGTTGCTAAAGGGAATAGAAGGGATCCCATAGACACTCCATAAGATTGTTTATAAATTCTATTATTGAAACTAAAAAACGTAGTACTGAGCACTAAACTCACAGCTTTAACGAATTCAGTTTTAGGTAGTTTAATATTATTTTTTATGTTCGGCCATCTATTTTCAATGCTCTCAATAACTAAATCCACTGGTGGACATTAGTGAAAAGAGAGACAACGTCGAGCGAGACAAGGATTGAGTCATCTGTCAAATTTAATTGTGATAAATCTTTGACTAGTTGAAAACTGTTCTTAATGTGTCGGTTTTTCAAAACAAGAATCCAAAATTTTATGTAAAAAAACAACTAAATTGTGTAAAGGACTTCCAATGGATGAGACTATGATATGTAAGGGATTACCTGTTTTATATATTTTTGGCAATCCATATACCCTTAGTATTATAGCATTTGTAGAATTGAAAAAATTGTATGTATGATCGGTTACATATTCATTTCTTTTCCAAGTTCGCAACAAAGACTTCAAATCACTCAAAATTTTGTTAGTCGGATTGCACG